TGCATGAGACAAGTGCTCGGGCCTGGTGCACTGGGAAGACCCAGAGGGATCGGGTGGAGAGGGAGGTGGGAGGAGGGACCAGGATGGGGAATACATGTAAATCCATGGCTAATTCATTTCAATGTATGACAAAAACCACTGCAATGATGTAAAGTAATTAAAATAATAAACTAATAAAAATAAATGGGAAAAAAAAAAAACATGTTCAAGGTGTTTGCCTTTTAAGATGACACTCCTGAAAATTGATGTCCAGAAGAGAATTACTTTCAAGTGCAAGAATTTCAGACACGACACCAGACAAGTAGAAGGTGTTGAATAACTGTAGGCAGTAACCTGGGTGACCCAATAGTCATTTATTATGTGTGGTATGTAAAGTGATGATATTGGTCATTTATTGCTGCATAACAAATTGCTTCCAAACTTGGCAACTTACAACAACAGTAAATATTTACTTTCAAACACAATTTTTTAATGTCAGGAATCTGGAAGTGGCTTTACTTGATGGTTTTTGCTCAGGAGGCCCTGCAAGGTTGCTGTAAAACTGTTAGGTGGAGCTACAGTCAGCTGAAGGCTTGACTGGGGCTGGAGAATCCCCTTCCAAATTGGTGTACTCACATCATGCTCGTTATTGGTAGGAGGCCTCAGATCATCCCCCATTGAGCTTCCATTTCCATGGGCTGCTTGAGTGTTCTTGGAATACAGGGGCTGGCTTCAATCAGAGTGAAGACTCCAAGAGCAAGCAAGACAGAAGTCACAATGTCTCACCAACCCAGCTTTGGCAGTCATACTTCCTCCTTTCTGTAGTACCCATTGTTAGCACAGTCTGTCCTACTCAAAGTAGGAGGGTCAGTAGGAGGTGAGGATCATTGGGGACCATCTTGGAGGTGACTACCACCAACCAGTAGGTTGCTGTGGCCAGGATCTTTACTCTGGCCCCTAGGTTTGCTTCACTGATGGCTCTAGGATGAAATAAAAGGTTTTTTAAATTTTTATGTGTTTTAAACAGGCAGACCTTTAGTAATATATTTAATCAAAGAAAGCCAAAACCACAGAGTTGAGTCTCCTAACCTGATGAAGAAGAGGTAGTCAAGATCAGCCAGGTAGTTTCCAGAAGAACTCAGAAGAGACAAGAGGGCAGGAGAGCTAGTTGACCTCTACATTGACCGTGCCCTAATGTTAGACTTTTGACCTTCTCTCAAAGTTCTGCACACAGTCCTAAAGATACACTGATGGAACTGAAGGAAGAAGAAGTTCACCATTCAACCTTAGACTTGCTTTTGTGACCATATAACACTGCTTGTAGTGCAGGTTGACTGTGAATTCATATTTTTCTAGGTTTTTTGACTATTAAATTATATTGCATTGATTTTTTCTATAAAGAGCTCTAATTTATAAAATGTAATAAGCAGTTGAGGTAGTCTACAATTTTTACAACTTTTGCTTTTGTTTCTTTTACTTTAACATAAAAGGAGCCTCGAAAAATCGAAGAGCCTTAGGTCTTTCTTAACATCTGAGAGGCTCTGCTCTCAATACCCTCCATTCTTGTTCCATTTGAGAAAGCACAGAGGTTGAATAAATGATCACTAAGTTCCTTCTAGGTCTCGAAGTCCTTTAGGCCACTAGACCCACAGTTGTCAAAGTGTATCTGTCAGTGTCCCTGGATGATCATTTAGTAAAAAGGAGGAAGCAGGAAAGGAAATGCAAAGGATAAATTCTGGCCATCACACTGGTATTCTCTTTACAACACAGTGAGCAAGGAGAGAGGTAAGCCTCTGAAGTGGGAGAAAAACATAGGGATGATTTTACAGGGTTTTTCCCTGATTCATAAAGTCACATTGAGATTGGGCTGTCGGTTTGAAATAAACTGGAGTCCAGGATATTCCGCTGAGAGTTCATCTCTCCTCTGTGGTCTGGATTGGCCAGGGCCTCCGACTGCTCCTGCAGCAAACCTGCTCTGGAAGGGCTATGTATAGATATTCTGCCTCAGAAACTGGGCCACAGGAGGGCTGGCCATTCGTTTTTGCTTGTTTCTTGTCCCCACTAGCATCTCTGAAAAGAATAATGATTGTCGCCATAGGCCAGGGCAGGGGCTGGGACAGTGTGGGGAGGCAGATAACGCAGCAAGGATTCCTGGCGCCCACAGGTGGTCAGGCTGCCAACGGTGCTGCTCGTGCGCTGCTAAAAGACACGCTCTGGGCGTGTGGGGCTGATCAGTGGACTTCTTTGGATCAGGGAGGTAGGTGTGGCCGGGTGAATGAATGAGGAAGGAAACCTCTGCTCACCCACCACCCACTTCTGAGCCACCTCCTGACCTTGGGAAATGCTAGTAACCTTGACTTGGTTTGATCAGGACCCTCCCCCCTCCTCTTCCTTACCAATGATCCCTCACTGACGAAATGTCTCTGTCCCATAGCAAGGACGCTCTACTCTCCTCATCTTCTGGTATTCAGCAAAATCCCAGGAGGATACAAGCATCTCCCCCTAACTTCCCATCATGCCTGACACCAGGTAGAGCTATAGAGTCCAGTCCCCCAAGAACTTGCCATATCTCTGAACAGTTAAGGTGCAGAGTGTAAATTCAGCTCTTCTTTTAAATCCCATTGCAGCTGAAGTCTTTTGCCCTGGGATGACTTCCCTCAAACTCTAAGACAATTCTCTTCTGGTCCCTGCTTTTCCTTCCGTCTTTCCTTTTGGAAAAAGATACTTTGGAGGAGTATCTGCTTAAGAAAGAAAACCACCTGGTTTTCAGGAATGGAGATGTTCTCTTGTGGATCATCCATTGACACTGTGATGCCACCAGAAACCAGCTGGAGGTATGGGACTCAGTGGAACTATTTAATGTTACTGTATGATTGGGGGGAAAAAACCAGAACATCGCTGTAGAAACATGCAAAGATCTGCCACCAAGAAGAGGCGATTAGGCTATTCATTAATCTCACAGGAAGGGCTAAGACCTTGGGAGAGGTTAGCGGGAGGCAGATTTTAGCCCAAAGTAGCCTATCCTGCCTCAAGACATGGCAAGCTCCATCATTGGGGGTGTTCAAGAAACAGCCTTTCTAAAATATCAGGCAAATTTCAAAATGAAAAATAAATTTGAGGAGACTCTAAATCCAACTGAGATTTTTTTTTTTTAATGGAGTTGAAGGAATGGATGGATAAGTGTGGAAGTGGAGGGAGACTTGAGCACAGGGATTTCTTGTTATTTTTTCAGAGTTCCAAATCTCTGTCTTCTGGTTCTTCCCAACTTTCAGAAAGCATGGGGTTCCAGAAGGAGTAAGACAGCGTGCCCATGACAGGGCCCTGAAAGAAGATGAACTGAGGAAAGACTGGGGCCTCTTAAGCATCTGTGAACCTGTCAAGAAAAAAAAAAAAGTCACCCAAGAGATAAGGAAAATACTCCAAATCATTCCCAGACTGAATATTTAACAAAATTGGGTTTTGATTTTTTTTAATAAGGCATCAGTGGCTCTTTTTAAGCAACAAAGAGACTGTTTTATGCAAATTTCCCCTCAGGGCTTTCATTAAGATGTTAACATCTTTCTTGTCACAATATCTACTTTATTACAATGAGTCATAGTGCTTCTCTATTCTCTTGCTGAGACATCCTTGTAAGATAAACTCTCTGGACTGCAAGCAAGGGTTTTTTTGTTTTGTTTTGTTTTTTAAGTGACAAAGTTGAGAGTTCTAAGGAAAAGGTTGGGAGACAGGAGATTCAATTTAAGAAAAAAAATGCCCTCTAGTGCGGGTGACACCCCTCTAGTGTGGGCTACTGGGCACAAAAGCCATTTTGTCCCCCATATCTTATAGGCAAGACTCCAGCGTCCATGACCTTCCCTGACTTCCAAAGGGCAGATTTGAATAGTTCCTAGTCAAGGAAGGAGCAGCCAAGAAACCCCAAGATTTTAAGGGACCAGGGAAGATCATCAAGATCAGGAAAGGAGATTGAGTGTGCTCTGAACACATCCTAATCTTGTCAGCACCCCCCCCCCCAAACTATTGCTATAAAAATAAACTTAGTGAAAGTGTCAGTCACTCAATCATGTAAGGCTCTTTGTGACCCCATGGACTGTAGCCCACCAGGTTCCTGTGTCCCTGGAATCAGGAAAGAATACTGGAGTGGGTAGCCATTCCCTTCTCCAGGAGATCCTCCCCACCCAGGGATTGAACTCAGGTCTCATGCACTGCAGGCAAATTCTTTATCGTCTCAGCCACCAGGGAGGCCCTCATCAAATCCTTCCAAGTGAGGACACAGAGTTTTCGAGGGTGGAAGTCAGCTGTGTCCCCCTTCGCCTGGCAAAGCTATAATGTTATTCTTTTCTATTTCACCCAAAACTCTGTCTCTGAGATTCAATTCAGCACCAGTGCACAGAGGTGAAGCTTTTGATATCAAGACCAGTGGGGAAATCTGGACACCATCCTGATGAAGAAAACAGGCTGGCTTGCACTGATGGTTATGGTTCAGCTCCCACTGGATACCAAGCTCATGTCTCTTGGGCTGGGTACATTTGAATCATTCCACTTCTACCAGCAAGGCAACATCTAAGCTCTTTTGAGGACAGCCTTCACCTCTCCACCCAAGTTCTCTCTCTGGACCATGGGTAAGTGGTTGTTTGGTCACAGATATTATTTTTCCTCTTCAGGGACTCATTCCATGGCCCTGGAATTTAAAAAAAAAAAAAAAAAACAGAGGTCACAGGGAAAAAAAAAAAAAAGCCATATAGAAGATTTCCCTGGTTAAGATTCTGACTTCCAATGCAGGGGACAGATATGGGTTCGATCCCTGGCTGGGAATCTGAAATCCACCATGCCGTGGAGCAACTAAGCCCATGCACCACAACTAGAGAAGCCCCATATGCCACAATGAAGACCCAAGGCAGCCAAATAAATAAATAAATATTAAAAATAAAAGCACTAAAGGGCTGTCTTGTATTCTAAAAGTAAAAAAAAGAAATGCCATATATAACTCCATGGCTATGTGGATAGGAAGTCTCTTGAATCATAAGGTCCCAAAGAAGGAGAATGGGAGTGCTTTCCATTGAGACTTAGACAGGAGAGCTGAGACCAGGGGCACAAGCTCTCGGGCTCCTTCTGCCCTACAAAGGCAGAAGCTGAGCGGGCAGGTCAGGGTGTAGGGCAGCCTTCAAGAAGAACACACATTCCTATAGACTGGGAGCTGGCAAAAGTCTGAATGGACAAAGAATAAACACCCTAAGATTTGAGGGCCATGTAGATCACATGGGCCCAGAGAGAGTGTGGTCATGTTCACAATTAGGCTTTGTTTATGGATACTGAATTTGAATTTCATATTAGTTTCAGGTCACACACAAAAATATATTCATTTTACTTTTTTCCCCCAACTATTTAAAAACATGGACTTCCCTGGTAGCTCAGCTGCTAAAGAATCTGCCTGCAATGCAGGAAACCTGGGTTCAGTCCCTGGGGTGGGATGATCCCCTGGAGAAGGGAACAGCTACCCACTCCAGTATTCTGGCCTGGAGAATTCCATGGACTGAATAATCCATGGAGTCGCAAAGAGCAGGACATAGCTGAGCAACTTTCACTTTCATTTAGAAACATAAAAGCTGTCTTAGCTCACAGATTGTATAAAAACAGGAGGAAGGCCTTCATTTTTCAACCCCTGATGTCGTCTGAACCCTTTCATGATGGAGTTTTTCCCACACTTGCATGTGAGGCCCAGATGTGCTTCACAGCAGGACGGGAGCTCCCCAAACCATGGAGTGGGACAGCTGCCTCCCAGTTCGTGCTTTCTTTGCCATCTGACCTCAAACATGATATTCCTGTGAGGAATCCTGTCTATGGGTTCAAAAGCACATCTATTCTGCCTGTTGGAATGTGATTAAAGCATGCAAGAGGCAAGCAGGGAGGCCGAGGACCTTCCAGGAGACGTTTGGTTCAGACAGAGAGCCTGATTATAAAGAGTTCTTTTAGAATCATTTTAAAGAAGGTTGGTGCTAAATATCAGGAAAGAGGAGGTTGTGTGAAAGTGAGTTAGAAGAGAAGGCCATGGAGCCCAATCTTTTGGAAATAACTTTGCTGGAAAATTGGGTTACAGGAAAGTAAAGACAACAGACAGTTCTAGGGAAAGGGGGCTGGGGACTTGTATATATGAAAGGAGGCGGGCAGGGCTGATATTCTATGTGGTCTAAACCATATATATAAACCATATATATAAACCATAGGGCTGAGCGGGAGTTAGAAGAGCAGGTTCCCTGTGATGGTTCTCCAGGCCTTTAGCTGAGGAAACCCCCACACCCACCCCACCCCCTTGGGCAAGTTACTTAACCTTGCACGGTGGCTCCGGAAGGCATACCCACTGCAGATGAAGCATGGCCGGAATAAAGGGTCAATGAAAGCTGGTCCTTATTATCATCACAACCATCACCACTTCTTGGCGTCTCTCCCGTAGATTTCAGTAAATATATCTAATTTCAAATTTGTTATGCTCAGTGGATCTTATGTTCTGTACTTCGCTCTTAAAATTTTTGTATATGCTTTTCCCATATGCATCTCAATAACTTTTAATTTGTGGCCAATGGTTTCATAATATTTCTTTGAATTGATAAGGTTCCAGTCACTTAACCTCTTGCCAGTTTGTAAAGATTTTGGTCTTCACTACTACAAGCAGTGAAAAAAAAGTGAAAGTGTTAGTCACTCAGTTGTCTCCGACTTTTTGCGACCCCATGGACTGTAGCCCACCAGACTTCCCTGTCCACGGGATTCTCCAGGTAAGAGTACTGGAGTGGGTTGCCATGCCTCCTCCAGGGGCGACTCTCCCAACTCAGAGTCTGAACCAACAGGGAGGCAATGCTCCCATAAATAACAAGCTTGACTTTCTCAGCAGGTGAAACGCAGCCTGAAGATGGGCTCATGCGTGGGTTACTTACGGTCTGTCCTCCAGAATATTAACATTGACTCTGGTAACAGGAGAGAACCGCTGTCTGCAGAGAGCTGCACCAGCCTTGGGTTTTATTATTTTAGTTTATTTTTCCTAATAAAGTGGGAGCTCACAATTGCTCACAATTGCTTTATCGTTCTTTTTAAAAAATGATTTACATACGAGATGAGTCACCTCCCTTGCTAATTCATTTAACTGCAATTGATATTTGTTTACATTCTCCAGCTACAGGGTCAATAGACATGCGGTTTTATCCCTTGTAGATGGGTGTAGGCTCTTTGTTTACATTGAATGTAAGACTTTTTCACAGATTTTTTCCTAATATTGTTATGTTACCCATTTCCTATTCATTTCCTTCATATATGGTTTTTTATTGTTTTTCATGAAGCTTTAAATCTATATGGATCTTAACCTGTCATCCTTATTAATGAAAATGTTATGAGTCAAGCAAAGAAGAAATCAGCTGCCCTTCACAGTAAGGAACGGTAAGATTCTCTTTTATTCTCTTTTTTTTTTTTTTCAGCATTGTGTCTCTAATCCACTCAGACATAAAAAGCTATATGGTATGAGTTATGGACCCGGATTTTTCTCCATGTTGCTTTTAGTGATCCCAACAAAATATACAATTATGTGTTTCCCCATGGTTCCTTATACTTCTCTTGTCACATATTTTTAAAATATTTCCGCTTTAGAGTCTATTTCTAGAATCTGTTATCGCCCAATGAAGTGACCTATATTCTGTTCTTAAGTCAGTGCTATAGCATCTTAATAATTGTTGCTGTGAAATAAAAAAATACCTGTAAGAGCAAGTTTCTAGCAAAGAGCATGACATACAGTAAAGCTCATTAAATGTTTATGGAAGACATGAACAAAGTTTTCCAAATTATTTTTATTGTTAAACATCATAATTTGCAGTAGCTTCCATTTATTTCTATGAAGTATTTTCATTATTTAATAGGATCAAACCTATAAGTTAACTTGGAGAATACTGTCATACTGTACTTGTCTTGTCATTCAAGAGTAGCTTTGAGTGAAGCTATATGAGATTGTAATTAAGAATCTTATCAGTTCAGTTCAGTCACTCCGTTGTATCCGACTTTGCTACCCCATGAATCACAGCACACCAGGCCTCCCTGTCCATCACCAACTCTCAGAGTTTACTCAAACTCATGTCCATCAAGTCGGTGATGCCATCCAGCCATCTCATCCTCTGTCGTCCCCTTCTCCTCATGCCCCCAATCCCTCCCAGCATCAGGGTATTCTCCAATGAGTCAACTCTTCGCATGAGGTGGCCAAAGTATTGGAGTTTCAGCTTCAGCATCAGTCCTTTCAATGAACACCCAGGACTGATCTTCTTTAGGATGGACTGGTTGCATCTCCTTGCAGTCCAAGGGACTCTCAAGAGTATTCTCCAACACCACAGTTCAAAATCATCAATTTCTCAGCGCTCGGCTTTCTTCACAGTCCAACTCTCACATCCATACATGACTACTGGAAAAACCATAGCCTTGACTAGACAGACCTTTGTTGGCAAAGTAATGTCTCTGCTTTTTAATATGCTATCTAGGTTGGTCATAACTTTCCTTCCAAGGAGTAAGCACCTTTTAATTTCATGGCTTCAATCACCATCTGCAGTGATTTTGGAGCCCAAAAAATAAAGTCTGACACTACTTCCACTGTTTCCCCATC